ACAGGAAATTTGAACGACGAAAGTCTTGCGTCATGTGCTACTGACTTACACCTTCAATCATGCTGTATGTATGTTGGTAGTTGAGTTTCTCGGCAGAAACAACATAGCGGATTTCAGAAGTTTGAAACACGCTCAAACTCTAAAGAGCTGGGAGTGGCTATAAACCATCCCTAAGCGTATGAAAACACGCTTATAAAGAATCAACTCAATCGTGATGTCTTTTGCATTTCAGTTGTTTGCATTTAATGCCGGATGCATCTTTCTCTGTCCGGAAAACTGATAGCTGAACCTGTTGCAGCTTGGAGCTCCTCAGAGAAAGTGATCCATTCATCAGAAAGCATTCCCAACCTGAGCTGAAGCGTCTGAAGCACAGGAGTGGCTGAAGCTTTACCATGTATATAGAAGTAGAAGTGTGTCTTCTTTCACCACTGATCGAGTGAGGAACTCAACACAAGAGCTCTTTCTGCGAAGATCCAAACACCGGTCCATCCAGGCATGCCCGCCTACACTCGTTCGTCCAGAGTCACAATTTAGGCAACGGCGGGCAAGAATCCAGCAAAGGGCACTCGAAGCCTCATTGTCTCTCAAAAATCATCATGTTCGTTGGAATGTCGGCTTGATCGGTTTACGTCATATCTTTGGAAAGACTGGGGGCGCGGGCATGTTCTTGGGATGGGTGAAAGGAGTGAAAGCCCAACATAGAGTATGTTGGTGCTTCAGAATACTCGTCCATGCGGTTCACGTGCTTGGTTTCAGTACAGAGGTGTCCTCACCTATTCTAAAAGCAAGGTAGATCTTCCACCAAGTTGCATCCCGCAGTGGCTATTAGATCATTGGTCAAGACTAGTGTTGCTCTTCAAAAACATTAAAATGTTGTACAGGCTGCCGGAGGAGGAATATTTGATAACAAAGTGTCCAACTTCAGCAAATGCCAAGCAACGACAATGCAAAAACTCCTCCTGAAAAAGCATTCTGAGAACAGCTCCACGGACCCTAACCTAAAGCTCTAAACAGAATGGCTCCTTTGCCAAATGTGCGACCGCACACATGGGAGCTTTGCTTGGAAAGTCGCCATCACAAAGAAATGTTCTGTTCTGTTCTTTCCCTTTCCTTCCTGGTTGTCTTTAGGCCTTGCTATGTTCTTCTGTTCTTTCTTGCTTCCTTCTATTCGATTGTGCTATGTCTCAATATTGCCAGTCTCAAGAAGAGGTCGCCATGCATCTCATGGCTGACTTTGGAGAACCATGGAGTACCTGCTATTCAGAGCATTGATTGATTTAATAGTGATATTCCTGTAAAGTCCAGGCAGCTTTGGAGGTAGAATCAACTCTGGCAAAGGTGCATTGTTTGCTTTCACATCCAAACCGCTTAAACATGCTTAAGCTATCTTAAGCTCACATCGATTGCCTGGCTCTTTTTTAGCGAATGCTCTCAGCTAATCCTTGCAATATCTAGCTGTCCAAAGACACAAGATGCCCTGCGGCATGCGCTCCCTCAGGAAGAGTGGCATTGCACAAAAGAAGCCACCCTCCAGCTCAGACATCGACAATTTTGTTGCTTTGCCCATTGCGCCATCTGATTGTACCACTAAATTCTGTGGTTTTGTCAGTTGCCACATGCGAAAAAAGGGACAAGTAGAACATGTGGGAGGTAGTAGACCTCAACATGTTGCACAGAAAGAACAGTACAGTACAGTACAGTACAATACAATACAGTACAGTAAGTCTTTTTTGCAAACATCTCCAAACACTCTTGCGGACTTTGAACAAGACAAGGGCCACACATATCTCGTTGGGGACAATATCCTACTGATCACGTCATGTTTCACACTTTTCTGCCTGCTCGAAGCAGCTTGCCACAGAGCTTGGATGTACCCACCAAAGGCCAATCCTTTCATTATGGCATCAAGGAATGCTGCATGGCCAAGCTTTTACCTTTCCAGGCTGCCTGTAAGAGCCCTTGCACATGGGTAGAATCAAACGCTTGCATGTGCATGCCAACTCACTCTGGAAAACTTTGGAGCACTCCATGGCCACCTGATGCAAGACCCGAAAGATCACTGCGGTCTGTACCGAATGGTCAAAAGAAAATTAGAACTGTTTCACTGCCGCCTGCATGGTCGGCAATTGAGATGCGTTATGGGAGTTCTCTGACACGTCCTTTCTGCCTTTGCAAAAGCTGTAGGCCACAATGTTGCGTCCGGCAAACCATGCATGTGTCTTAAGGCTCCAACCAGGTCGAGTCCCCGTCTCTGTCATCGCCATCATCCATCTTCTCAACATCTTCACCTAACAATGTGGATCACTAATATGAGCACTGCCCATGTGGTGCCCGAATTATGTATCTGAGGCAGTCTCGGTCACGCAAGGCTGCATGAGCCAAGCTCACACCACCACTGCATAGAGCAGCAGACCAAAGCACAGGGCCTGTTGACGAAAAGAAAGAATCTGACATCAACACAGTGAAGAGCGGAGTTCTCAGCACCAAACCCATGAACATATGCAGGAAGAGGAGTGTTGGCAAAGCCATGATCAACTTAGGTTGTGGGAAAGGCAAGTAAGTGTGACATTTGGATTCTCTGTACTATGAAAGTGATCTCAGCTCAAAACCATCTTCATGTTTGCACCTAGCGGCACTTGAACGCCACCTGCGCATCTTTGCCGGCACTTGGACTATAGCGCGCTGCAAGTCAAATTCCAGGCATGGCACAATTCATCTTGGCCATTTTCGTCTTTGCCGAAGGCACTGTGCAAGACTGAAATTGGGCTGGCTCGGCTGGCAAATTCATCCAGCCGTCCCAAGGCAAAACAGTCTTGCAAAGACCAACACATGGTCAAAACGAGAATACAGCTCCGCTGTCAAAGATCAGCAGGATGGCTCCAGAACAATGACCTTAGACAGCAGTCTGCGCAATGGGACAAAGGTGGATTGGACATATGAAGCGCGGTCAAAATTACATGTTCAGCTACTAAAACATGTCTAGGGAGTGAGTCACCTATCGCTTTTCAGGGTTTTGGATACTGCAGGTGCAGGTGTGCATGTGTCTTCATAACAAAGCCCTTTTGCTGCTCATTCTGCAGTGCCACTGCTGGCACCTCTGCTGCTACTGGAGCCTGTGCTCTCTTCGAAGCTCGAAACATCCTCAGCAGCACCACTGCAGCTTCAAGCTGCATGTTCCGCAGCTTCCTCCGCGCAATCTGTTTGTCTCTACACACCCCGTGTACTGGAGGTCAACACCCTGAGGGAGCAAGCGCTCTTTTTCGGCCTCCGTGTCAAGGCATTGTCCAATGCTCTGTTCTGTATTCTGTCAGCGCATCTTCAACAGGCACCAGCTGTATGCTGGAGGTCAGGTTGGCAGCTGTCACCATGGAAGAAAAGACATGGTTACAACGGTTACACCCTTTGACCCCAACCGTTTGCGCGATGCCAAGGGAGTGGAGCTCACTCACACGATAAGTTTTTCCAATGTGAAACCCATCTGCTTGCATCTTGAACCTTTGCGCTGCTTAGATGTTTCATCCAAGAGAACCACCAGGGCTGGCATCATGAGATCCCTTGTCAGCTGCAGCTTCACAATATCAGCGCCTCTCAATTGCGTACTGCTCGAACATTCCAAAGAGGCGATCTGCCTTTGATTTCATACGCTTCTCTACGTCAGCCTCTGGGGTAACGCGCAGCACAGGTTCTCATAAGTCGCGACCAGACTTCAAAGGGCCCACGCCCTTGCCGCTGCCCCAACCTGCTCGGTGCGTTGCAAGAAGGTCACTGAGAATCACTGCGCAATGGCAAGGTCACTAACTCAATCAGACAAAACGCTGACTGATTTTTTGGTTCAGGCGACTCCTGGAGCTTGGTGAGGACTGGTTTGCGAAGAGCCTGGTCTTCAAAGAACTTTGTCTTCTGCTCCAAGGGGGCTGGGTCCAATCAGAACGCCTGCCACTTCAAGCTCCTCACAAATAGGTTTGAAACATGAAGCCCGCCACCACCAGAGCCCCCCCAGTACTGTGAGCCGCAGGGGGTGCACTGAGTGTTTTTGGAGGCCTTGATGATGCTTAAACCCTTTGATCTTTGGTTATCGAACAAAAATTTGCCCAAGTTCGTCCTCAAACAAAAGCGCACTCGCTGCCCTGACCGTGCCATCTTTCACTTGCGCAGCTGTGTCTGTCCCCTTGATGAAACAAATGGACTGCGGAACCGAGAGTCCACTCACATTCACTGCAGTCTTTGAACCCAAAACATCTATCATAGCAGGTATCCTTTTTATGAGTCACCTATCTATCGCTTCCGATGGTTTGGTGTAATAATTAGAACCATACAAGAAGCCAACAAGACATCCAAGACCAAACACATCTACGAGAATTCGAACTGTTGCTCATATGCAAGTATCGTTTGGAACGTTACATGTGAGTTTGGTCACGCAAAAGGTGTAAAAAGGAATCACAAGGTTAGACTTCACGGACTGCGCTGCCAATGAGCAGAATAGCTGCAGCAACTGCGTCTGCGAGGCGCCGCTCCTCCCGTTCTTCCGTTGAAACAGAGTTTTGCGTCTATGTGTTTCCCCCCTATATGTGGAACTCTCCGAATTCGCCTCTCCTGGCTTCTCGCTTGCATAACCATTTTTCCATCCTTGAAAGTCGCAAACCAGAGCGTATAGATCCAAAACGGCCCACCCTTTCGGCTGGGGCAAGGGCCGGAAAAGCAGACATTCTCACCAGAACAGCCTGAGGTAAAGAGGCAAATGTAGCAGTCTCATATGTCCCATACCCACGGCATGCATGACTGTATAGTATGTTCATCTCATATTTGGCCTGAGACTCATGGCAGCCGTGAGCTGGCCTTCGCAGAAAACGCAACAAGGACATCATGGAGTAGCCAAAACTGTAGCTGCACTGATGGACTGATGGACTGAGGTCGATGCAATGTGGCACCAAGACCGAACAGATTGTCGTCCAACCGGAAAAGTTGCCTTAAGGCTTTAGGGTGTCTGCACCCAGCGAATCTCACTTGTGCTGGATACAGAGCCTGATCAGCTCTGTGTACCTGCTTTGCGTCGACCTGGAGTTGGGCAATGGGCCTTGCTTGTAACTAGAACAACCGACCAGCCATCGTATCAGCTTTCCACTTCGCAGTCATCGGGTGCAATTTTGTTTTGGTAGGTCTTTGTACTTTGCGTAGAGGTTTCGTTCTTTTGGAGCCTCTAGCTTTAACTCGACGTTGGTTGGACCTCGTTGCATACACCTGCGCTCTTAGGCTTCCTGGTTTGCCAAGGCCTGTTCGAATGGCAAACCACATTGCGCAGCAACTCTTATCTCCGGTGAGGGCCCGGGAATGCCCATGACGCAAGCCCTTTTGTGAGAGTCCGCCACAGCGACTCATGCGCAGCCCACTCACTAAAGCCCTGTGTGCTCCCCAACTCCGCCATGTCAAGCTGATAAACTACTGTGGAGCAGAGGGTCCATTTCTCTATTGCAGGTCAAGATCAACTCACCTTCAGAGATGGTGTCGTCACATTCAACCAAGAAAATATGTGTCAAGTTTTTTGGATGCCAATGAGCTCAAGGCATCGTCCCATCCAGTGTCAAGGCAGCAAGAGAATCCTTGGACCTGTATCATGTTGATGGAGAGTTGTGACAGTCAAGTCAAGTGACTGTAAACAACACATGTTCAAAACAGACCGTGAATGTTGAGGAAGGAACCTCATCCAATCCTTGGGAGCTGGAAGTGCAAGCTTGCAAAAGCAATTCACAGCCCAAGGTTGCAACTGCAGTTGAATGCACATCTGCAGCAGCCTCCCAAGTCACTAGTCTTTATATATATATATATTATATCTACGTATGGAGACAATGAGGACCTTTGTCCATCACTGTGTATTGTCCCGTGTCAAATTAAATCCTCTTGATCTGAAGACAATCAAATACGGAAAGACATATTCCAAGATAAAAGAAAAAAGGTCTGCCCGAACGTCTGCCCAGTGTGCCCTCACAACCTTGCAAACATCCACCATGTCTCAACCAGGGGCTTTGGGAATTGGCAACAGAAGTTTCAGCACCATTCAGCACCCCCAACAAAGGATTTCTTCCAGAGAGAACCCAAGGGGTCTCGATTTCTGCAAGGTATTTGATGCAGTTGCGTCTCAAACAGTAACTTACACTACTTGGTCGACCAATTATTGGAGTACTTTGCCGGCTTGGTCAGGATCAGTGTGCAAAGGGCAAGATGTAGACCTGAATGAAGGATCTGCCCACACAGTCACCAGCCTCCAAATCAGGCGAGTCCCATTCCTGCAAAGCAGGATGGAATCTGCGAGCTCGCAATGGCTGTGAAAATCCGGCTTCTCTTAACTTCTTGCCTGCTTGAAACGAAAGGTTGGCTGCAGTGGCTTCAAGAAGCTGGTAACAAGCCTCATGCTGAATTGCCAAGGCACCACATCAAAACACAAGCTACCCTGCAAAGATCAAGGATGTTTGAAGGATTCAAGCATTGATCAAAGGTTTCCAGTTTGGCTCCGCACAGTGGAAGTCGGATGAAAAAATTGGCAAGCTCCATAGGCTCCTTGCAAAGTGACTCGTCTTGCTTTAAGCTGAGTCTTTGGGCATTCAGCTCAATGACGCGCCTCATTCATCTCTCCCACCAGGTTGGCCTGCGAGACGAAGTGGGCCAGAACTGCTGCAAGCAACCAAAAGGCTTGCCTTGACATTCATGGAAGGTGGTTGACCGAGAACATCCATCAGCTCGAACTTAATCTTCTGTTCGAAGGATGTAGCTTGCCTCAGAAAGTCTACAGCATCCCAAGAATAAGCTTCACCAGCTTCGCGGCGTGTTTGTTTGTTTGTTTGTTTGTTTGTTTGTTTGTTTGTTTGTTTGTTTGTTTGTTTGTTTGTTTGTTTGTTTCAAGAGGGGTGTCTACTTCGCAAAAAAAAGATACAAAGGAATTGGCACTGATAGTCAGCTGCAACTTGGACCCAAACTCATCCAGCAGGACTGTCAGCAAACCCTCCGTGAATGAGTTCTGGCCACATTCGCAGTGAAGGGCCGCGAACTTAGAAAGAGATAAACAGTTTGGGAAATAATGTGATATCAAAAAACTTGACTACTCGAATAGTAGGAACCGAGTCGACAACGTCCGTCTCAAGGGTTGCTTCAAGCCTCCATTCATGGCAGTGTGTCACTCACATCAGCATCTATATACACTTTATATTACACCCGCCCCACACTGACACTGCCTTCTTTTTGGATCTTTTGAGGTCAAAGCAAAGGCATCAACAAAGACTCGTAGCCCTCTGTCAGTCCCCACCACTCGCCCCGCACTGACGCGGCCGAACTGTGCACTGTCATTGGACTGTGACGCCCAAGCTGTCACAGTAGCCTTCCCTTCCTGTCTCATACATAGCACCCACACAAACGCGATGACTTGCCACTCCAACAAGCCTTGGAAAAAAATGGCCTGGGCCTGAGTCATGCAGGGGTGTATAGCCCCGTACCCTATTTATCAGGGATCAAGAAGTGTCTCCAAAACTTCAAGGCACCAAACTGCACTTCACCAAGGAGTGGAGCATGGTTACTGAACGGCACAAAAAAGTGCGGGCGCACGAGGTTGATAAACCCAGCTTCCACCATAACGCGTAGCTTCATTGGCATGAGGTTGTGTGATGGCCGCATGCCCCGTGCTGCTCTAGAAATTGCAAGCCCGCCAAACAAAACAAATCGAACACTGCAGAGTGGAACATTGAACCCAAGATGTCCAAGTATCAGTGTGGGTTGATTTTTTAAACGCTGTTCTCGGTCGACTCACTCACTCACTCACTCTCTCACTCACTCACTCACTCACTCACTCTCTCTCTCTCTCTCTCTCGCTCCCGCCTCTCTCTCTTTCTCTCTGGGTGGGTCTATGCAACCTTTAGCAAATTCTCTTCCGGAAGGGAATCCTGCCTGGAGAGTTTGCGGTTTCGAGTTGCAACGTAGACAAGCGTTACCTCATGGGCAACAAGAGGCTATCAAACGGCAAACCTGAATGGCTTGACCGATGACTGAAACTTTTGAGCACTGGTTGCAAGATTCTTGTCAGTTCCCCATATTCTATCAAGCGTCTGTGGCAGTGAGGTCGATGGATCGCGACGCCTCACAGACAACTGGGTTTCACTGTTTCCAGCTTGGAGCCGGTCAAAAGAATATCCCTAGCCGTAATTGCCCATGTTTTCAATACAAATCATATAACGTGGAACTAAAAGCTCTGCTTTCTCAGCTTTCGGAGGGCTACAATAGGTATGTGTCATGACATGACTGCACACGTTCCCCTTCCAGCGGCTCACTGGAATGAATGCACAAACCACTCCTCGTGGAGGTCAGCACAAAAGGACTGCGAAGCAGCCGACATTGAGAAAGCATCATTGAAACCCATTCCCCATACGTCTCTTCCACTTCCAAAGCCACATTAACTTACCCAAGATCAAGCGCATTATTTCAGCGTGCGTTGTTCGTCGGGTTTGTTCTTTCATATCTCGAACACCGAAGACAGCGTTTAGAACCACAAGAAGAAATGTAGTCCAATAGCTTATACACAAAGTTACACAAACATCCCATCGGGTCGGAAACCGAGCGCCTATTCGTGTGCGGTCCACAGCATGACGGAAGATGCGCAGTTGGACTTGCAAGCCCGTAGCTTATATGGTTATTACGAGCACCAACGCTTTTCAATTGAACAAAGAGCAACTACCTACATAAGCAGAACACGCATATACTCGCCAACTAAGATTTTATAATTTGTACGCAAACAATACAAGACAAGCTCTTCGACGCAACATTTATACATTCACGGGCAATACGATGTCCAAGCGCCAGCGTGCAAGGTGCACCGGGTGTGTGGACATGCAAGCGCACAGTGCGTCTTTATTCTCGTGGCCTATGGCGATCCGTTCTTGGCGAGCGACTTGCGACCTCCCTGGAGAACCGCTTCAAGGAAATTCTCTAGGACTGTCGAGGAAAACCTAGGTGCGCGAGCCACAGCCAAAACAAACAGCAAACCCAGACGCTCAAGGAACCTCCTGGATAACTAGGGGCCGGGCCCTCATATTATGGAGATCCGGGCCTTCGAGCCCCTAGTCCTAGTTGTTGAGGGTGGGGCCTTTGGGAAACAAGACAGAAACACTACCAAAACACAGCCCATCCCACCCAAGCATGAGCAAGACACCACCCAAAGAGAGAGATACCAGCGAAACATGACCGAGACACCAGGGAAACATGACCAAGACACCAGCGAAACATGACCAAGACACCGCCAAACATTGCCGAGATCCTCCACAAACATTAGTGAGACAAAACCAAAACACAACCGAGACACAAGCGAAACATGCCCCAGATACCACCGAAGCATGACCAAGACACCAGTCAAACACGGAGCTATGACCAAGACACTGACCAAGACACGACCCAAACATTACCCAGACATGCAAAGTATGACCGAAGGAGACACCACACAAACATGAACAAGATACCAACAAGCCATGACCGAGACACCACCTAAACATAACCGAGACACCACCTAAAGATGACCGAGACACGTGCGAAACACGAGCGAGTCACCACAATAGCATGACCGTGACACCGCACAAACATGGCCCAAATAGCACCAAAACTGGGACACCATCGCCTAGGCCCGGGCCGTGGATGCGATGGTGCCCAGGTCTGATGGCATTCGCTCACGCACTCCATGTGTCCACTCATCATCGTGAATAATAGGAAGGTTCTTCGTCTTAACGTCGCCTCTTGAGGAAGTGCGGTAGGTCTGGTCGCCCGCAACATAGCTTTATCCCTTGCCCTCTCTGACCACCACTTCACAAGAAGCCTCACCACCACACCTTCCTGACCTTCACCCCTTCAAGTGGTGGAGTGACTTCTATGGGAACCTCAATGCCATCCATCGGCATGGGGACGAACAACCAACCCCTTGTTGGGTGGACTTTCTAAAACGCGTCACACCTTTGAGCTCATAACCCACGTGGGACTAAAACCTCCGTTTTCTCGACTTTCAAAGGGCTACAGTAGGTGTGTGTCATGGCATGACTGCACTGCACACGGTTATGTGTCTAGAATACATACCTGTGAAGGGAGGGGGCGACAGCCAGCTTCTGGCTTAGGGTGGTGGTTTTAGGGCAAGCCTGGCGTTTGCCCGCTGTTTGTTGTTCATGTCCTGTAGATGGACTCAAAGACTTGGCGCGCAAGATGAAGTGATTGGCTAACATCGTGCAAAGAGTACTTTTATGGGGTGAAGTTGACATCGCAGCCACCCCAACAGGGGGTAGAAACAGAAAGTAGAATACATAGGGGGTGCATGGGGGGGGGTGCCCTTTTTCGTCCTGGTTCAAGGGCATTTTGGAGGTGAAAAAGGGCACCCCTAAGGAAGTGAGGGGCGCTTGTTGCCAATCAATGAGCAAAGATGGCTGTGGGAGGCCCATGGGCGATGTTATCGGCAGGCTTTCGTAAGGATACATATCCGTATAAGGTAGAGTGGACAAAGAGTAGCCGGAAGTGGTGAAGTTGATATTGCAGCCACTTGAGCGTGCAAGATGAACTGATTGGCTAACATCGGGCTGAAAGTACTTTTATGGGGTGAAGTTGACATAGCTGAATAGCCACCAGAGACGTACATTTCCCTCTTCTGGAGGAGCTACAACCGCTTCTCACGTCCCGTTGTCCCCGCTTTCCTCTCATCGACATGAACTCCCACCCCTGGTAGAAGACGGTTTAAATTGCCTCCTGATGCACTACTCGCCGTCAATTACATCACTTGCATCCCCAAAAACCACTCATTTTCACTACCTCCTGGCCACCTTCTTTTCGCTCTCCCCCACCAGGCTCTGGGTTAGCTCTCCAAAATTGGCCCTCTGGCGACCACCCCCCACACCCCCTTTACTCACTTCGTTCGCTCCCCTAGACTCCAGCCTAGCCTATCTACATATATAAAGACACTTTGACGTGTTTCTTAGATCTAAGTCTCTCCACAGAGTTCTAGGACACAACAAGGAGGAAGCTCTGACATGGTGAACTGACATGGACACCTTGGTGGCGTTGAACGGACGAACCTGAAGACTTTGCAGTATAATGTTCAAGAGGCCTGCTGCACATTGGCATGTATCTCCAGGTGTTCTCCTTTGTAAAGCCTGCATGAAATGATAGGAAACGTTCAAAAACATATAAATCTGGAAGAGGATGGAAGAAACTGGAAATGCCCTGAGGTCACAACACTCCCGTTCTGTGACACAGCAGCTTAAGGAAGAGCTGATGGTTCTCATCATCTGGACGGGGATGTCAGCAACTCTCGTAAGAGAATCTGTTGAACTGATTGAAGACATTGTTTCTACAAACTGTTTGAAGGATTGAATGTTCATTCGATGAAAATTTGCGCATTAATACAGCTGTCCCCTGCAAGCCTGTGTGTGGGTGAAGCGGTTCAACATCGTGTAACACCCTTGACAAATGAAAAAAGGTTTGTGGGCACTTTGCAATCAAAGACACTCCGTGGAACACTCAACTGTGGCAAACGCTAAGTTGAAGACCGCTTCTTTCCAGACGGGCTTCGCGCCTTTCAATAGGTCTGCAGAGCTGTGCTTGTGACTTGCAATCCGTCAAGCATCAAGCCCAGCCTGGTCATCACTGGCATCTTGGATCAAGTCCTTCTTAGCGTCGCCTTCAAAGCCCTCAGACTTGTGGTTTGTGAGCTCAAGATGCTTAA